TGACTTGAGGACAGCAATCTTGTGACGACGTGGGGGCAGCCATCTTGTGATGACTTGAGGGCATCGCACAAGGGCGTGAGGGCCACCTAGGCTTTTATTAGTATAGATTATTTTTATTAATTATTATTTTCCATATTAACAACTGTAAACCTACTTTTGCTCCACTCTGTAGTTTTAGCTTACTTTTAAAAAAAATATATTTTATTGATTTTTTTACAGAGAGGAAGGGAGAGGGATAGAGAGTTAGAAACATCGATGAGAGAGAAACATTGATCAGCTGCTTCCTGCACAACCCCTACTAGGGATGTGCCTGCAACCAAGGTACATGCCCTTGACTGGAATCGAACCTGGGACCCTTCAGTCTGCAGGCTGCCGCTCTATCCACTGAGCCAAACCGGTTAGGGCTTAGCTTACTTTTTTATCCAACCTGACAATTATTGCCTTTTAATTGGGTGTACAGACAATTTACATTGAATAGGCTTATTGACATGGTTAGGTTTGAGTCTCATTTTGCTGGTTGTTTTCTATTTTTCTCATTGGTTCCTTGTACTTCTGTAACCCTCTTTCTACCTTTTTTTGGATTGCATATTTTTTATGATTCTATTTCATCTCTTTTGTTGTCTTATTAGTGACAGCATTTTTTGTTTTAGAATTTTAGTGGCTGCTACAGGGTTTATTGTATGCATATTTAAATCACATCTACCTTCAAGTGATATTACACAACTTCACATATTGAATAAGAAACTTAAAATGGCATGCTTTCATTTCTCCCTTCCTGATCTTTATGCTATTGTTGTCATACATTTTATTTATACTTATTATAAACCCTGCACTAGGTTATTATTATTTTTGTTGGAGATTTAAATAATAATAAAATTCTATTTATTTACCCCTGCAGTCACCATTACCAGTGTTCCTTTGTTTAGATTCATATTTTCATCGGGTGCCATATTTCTTCTTACAAAAGGTCTTCCCTTAACATTCTTTGTAGTGTGGGTCTGTTGGTGATTATTTCTTTCAGTTCTTATATGTCTGAAAAAGTCTATCACCTTCATTTTTCAAGGGTATTTTCTCTGGGTTCATCATGTTTTCTTTTAGTACTTTGAAGATGTTTTTCTTTTGTCTTCTGGCTTGCATTGTTTCCAATAAGAAATTTACTGTCATTGTTAGCCTTATGCTTCAGTACATAAAGTCATTTTTTCCTCTCTGCTTTTAAGATTTCCTCTTTATTACTACTTTTGAACTATTGATTCTTTGGTTTATTAAACTTCTTGGATGTGTGGGCTTACTTATAGCTTTCATTACGTTTGAAAATATTCAACCATACTTTCTTCAAATATTTTTTCTGTCTCCATCCCTGTCTTTTAGAAACTCCAATATATATATATACATTGTTAGAATGCTTGAAGTGTCCCACAGTTCACTGATACTCTTTTTTTTTACTTTATAAATGTTTTCATTTTAGATAGTTTCTATTGCTATGTCTTCAAGTTCATTAATCTTCTGCCATTAATCCTATCTCAACTTGCTTCTTTTGACTATGTCTCTACTTAACTTTTTGTATTTAATGTTATCTTTTCATTCTAACATCTGTGTTTAATATCAATATCCATTTCTCAGTCATTGATTTCTCTATTTTTCCCATTTTAGGCCATATTTTGCTGCTTCTTTGAATACCTAGTAATATTTGATTAGATGCCAGACATTGTGAATTTTACTTTTTTGGCTGATGAATATTTTTGTATTCCTATACATAATCTTGAGCTTTGTTCTGGGACACAGTGAAGGTCCTTTGAAACAGTTTGATTCTTTAGGTCTTGCTTTTATAATCAGTTCAGTGGAACCAGAGCAGCTTTTAGTCTACAGTTATTTGTTCCATATTACTGAGGCAAGACCCTTTTGAAGACTTTACCCAATGCTCTCTGAATTATGAGGTTTTCCAGTCTGTCTGGGAATAGGCCCAATTCAAGGCCCTGAGTGAATGTGAGGTACTACTCCATCTAATCAGTTCAGCTGTTTTTTCTCCCAGCCCTCAAGTGGTTATATGCAATGCACTGATCAGCACCCTTTGCAGACCTCTGGGGTTTTCTTTCTTTGTAGCTCTTTCCTTTCCTGTAGATGACCTGTGAACTCTAACCGTTGTATCTCCAGAACTCTCAGCTTCCTCTGTTCAGCTCAGGGAGTCCACCAGGCTTCACCTGGGTTCTCCTATTCTGCTCCATGGCCTGGAAATTCTCTCAAGACAGTAAGCTTGGACAATCACAGGGCTCGCCTTATTTGTTTCCCATCCCTCAGAGACCACCATCCTGCATGGCTCAATGTCCATCTTCTTGAAAGTAGTTGTTTTGTATATTTTGTCTTTATTTTGGTGTTGTTGCATCAGGTGGGAGGAGGGTTCCTATTATTTCACTTGATTGTAAGTAGGAATCTCTAAATTTGGGTGTTGTTTTTTTTAAGAAATATATTTAATGTCACTATTATTTTCAGAAAAAATGTTCTATTTTAACTATTGGGTAAGCCAATTTCTAAACATGCTTGCTCTATATGAGTTTATGAAGATCTGAACAGGGTGAAGGGAATGGGCCATAGAATAAAAGTGACTATAAGTTCCCTTCCTTACCCAAAGCTTTCTGATTTGCTCTTTGGTAGGTAGTTCTGTTCCCGTAATCGTCAGAGGTCTCTGGTTTCTTTTGGAGAGAGATTCTTTAAATTAGTTCTATGAATATGCCCTTCAAAATGTGTAGAGGCTGTTAAAAATAAAGTTGTCATGGTCTTTATGTTTTAAACTAGAGGCCCAGTGCATGAAATTTGTGCAGGGGGTGTCCCTCAGCCCAGCCTGCACCCTCTCCAATCTGGGACCCCTTGGGGATGTCCGACTGCCGGTTTAGGCCCGATCCCACAAGGGTTTAGGCCTAAACCAGCAATCGGACATCCCTCTCACAATCTGGGTCTGCTGGCTCCCAACCGCTCGCCTGCCTGCCTGCCTGATTGCCCCTGACCGCTTCTGCCTGCCAGCCTGATCACCCCCTAACCACTCTCCTGCCTGCCTGATCAACGCCTAACTGCTCCCCTGCCAGCCGTATTGATGCCTAACTGCTCCCCTGCTGGCCCGGACACCCCCAACTGCCCTCCCCTGCTGCCCCGGATGCCCCCAACTGCCCTCCCCTGCCGGCCCAGATGCCCTCAACTGCCCTCCCCTGCTGCCCCGGATGCCCCCAGCTGCCTTACCCTGCCAGCCCAGTCGCCCCCAACTGCCCTCCCCTGCTGGCCTGGTTGCCCCTAACTGCCCTCCCCTGCTGACCTGATTCCCCACAACTGTCCTCCCCTGCTGGCCATCTTGTGGATGTGGGTACTGCCATCTTTGAGGGCATGGCAGTCAATTAGCATATTCCCTCCTTATTGTCTGTGGACGCTGCCATCTTTGAGGGTGGTGTAGTCAACTAGCATATTCCCTCCTTATTGGCTGTAGGCGCTGCCATCTTTGAGGGCAGGGCAGTCAACTAGCATATTCCCTCCTTATTGGCTATGGGCGCTGCCATCTTTGCAATGGCGTGAGGGTCAATTAGCATATTCCCTCTTTATTAGATAGGACTATATGATTAAAACTTTGACAGTGAAACATTATAGAGGAAACATAATGAGGGGACTTGCCTCCCAAGATATTAAAATGTATTTTAAAGCTATGATAATTAAAATGTTGAAGTACTACTGTTAATATAGAAACAAATTAATGGATCAAAATAGAATATACATTGACAGACTTATAAATGTGTTTTAAACATTTAGCATAAAGGAATTATTTTAATGGTGGGTCATTCAGTAGATGGTGTTGGTATAATTGGATAACTCATTGAAAAAAAAATTAGATTTGGATCTCCTTCCCATATCTTACCAGTATACCCAGATATGTTCCAGATCTGTTAAAGAAAGAAAATATAATCTTGAGATCAAGAAGGCCTTTCTAAGTATGACATAAACAGAATTCCTATTCTTACTGTATAAAGACTCCTCATAAAGTAGTAGAAGAAAGATGAATACCCCCAATAGAAAAGTGGGCAGAGGACAAGGTTAGGTAATCACAATTAGGGGCAAAAAATATAAATGTTCAAGAAATATTTATTTTTAAAATGTTTTATTTCATAATGATAATTAAAATAATAATTATCATAACTATATTATGTGTTTCTGTTTGAATATGTTAAGAGCTTTCAGCAGATTAGTTTAATCCATTCAAAGGCAAGTATATATGTTATCATTTTATTAATGTGACAATTGAGACAGGACATGAAGAACCTTGCCCAAAGCAACAAAGTTAGCAAGTGGTTGAGTCAAGGTTATAACTCAGGCCATCTGACTTAGAGTCCTGTTCTTCATCACTTCTCAAAGAAATAAATTAAAATGACCTAAAACCCCACTGCACTTCTCAGAGAAATTGTTAATTTGCTCAAGATCACACAGCTCCTAAACAATAGAATCCTTTCTATTCAAGATGGAATATGCTAATTGACCCTCATGCCATCGAAAAGATGGCGGCGCCCACAGCCAATAAGGAGGGAATATGCTAATTGATTGCCATGCCCTCAAAGATGGCGGCGCCACTGCCTCCAGAGTCCCCCAGTCCCCTCAGTCCCTGAGCCACCCAGGGCCGGCCTGAGGTGCAGACAAGCCTCAGATGGTGGCTGCCTAGCCACCCAGGCCCACCCGAGGCTCAGGTAACCAGGGCCGGCCAAGGCTTGCACTGCTGGCAGTGACAGCAGCAGAAGTGTGATGGGGCGTCGCCTTCTCCTGATCGCCGGGTCACCTCCCGCCCCTGAGGGCTCCCGACTGTGAGAGGGGGCAGCCCCCCCCCCACTCCAGTGCATGAATTTTCATGTACTGGGCCTCTAGTTGAGTTATAAATAATGGAAAGAAAAATGATGTAAATAGAAGAAACAAAATCAGGGTGAAGTAAATTAGAAGAACAAAAAGCAAATATCTTATTTAACAAGCTCACCATTTCTTTTCAGAATATTTAAAAGATGCTTCCAAGAAGATGAAAAGTGGGCTTATGTTTGTAAAACTGGTTAACCCATGTTCAGGTAAGCTCCCTTTCCCTCCCCTGCAATAATAGTAACTTGAATGTTTTTCTTTTTAACATTGTATGTATTTACTTGCCTTTGTATTTTGTTCTAACTCAGCGGTTCTCAACCTGTGGGTCACGACCCCTTTGGCGGTCGAACGATCCTTTCACAGGGGTCGCCTAAGACCATCCTGCATATCAGATATTTACAATACGATTCATAACAGTAGCAACATTACAGTTATGAAGTAGCAACGAAAATAATTTTATGGTTGGGTCACAACATGAGGAACTGTATTTAAAGGGCCAGAGGTTGAGAACCACTGTCTAACTGAATAGCTTTTTAATGTAAAATGGCATTACCTCGTAACCAAAGTAAGCTATTGACATTACTAGTCTTCTCCAGATGATTCACTGGACCTAAACATTTTTTATTTATCCTTATAATTTTAATCCATAGACCTGTTTATCAGAAATGATGGCAAAACATAGTAGCATATTTGATTTCTCTCTGAGCTTTTCTTAGAATAGTTAGGCTCCTATACAGTAAAATATATAGGGGTTAGAAAAAGGCTTTTACCTGAAATGCCAAGATTATAGTGGTTTCATTTTTAGCTGTACTTTCTTTATTTTGTTCTGACCAGAAAATAGTACTTTTTTTTTTCCTGTCAAGGGTTGATTTTTTTGTAGCAAAACAATTATATATTATAGAGATACAGATTTTATCAGAAGTAATTTTATTTTAACTTTATATTCAGTGTATTTTCTGTTTTATCTTCTAATCTTTAGGCAAAAATATTAAACTATATAATAGATGTGTAGTAAAATTTACCATATTTTTATCTCTATATGGAATTGTTTTTCCATTAACGTATTTTATAAGATTTACGTTAAAAGGTTATTGTTAATTTTATGTTTGAGTAGATGCCTGATACTTAGTAAATTAGAGGATTCTCCTAGTGACTATAATACTGAATATAAAAGTAAAAGAAAGGGGAAACCAGTGGGTAGTACTTTGCTGTTCTTATTAATGTTGGAAAAATATAAGATAGAAGCAACAAGAGAGGAAAAAATTTCTGGCTTCCTCCAGTTTTCTTTTCTTCTCAAAATGAAATTGAATATAACTTTTCCTCTCTCTTATGCATAAGTTGAGGTGAGAAACAATTTTTTCAAGAGAAGTTTTAGGTAGTAGCAAAAGTTCTAAAGCATTTAACAAAAGTAAAGATTCAAAAATTCCAGGCTTCTTGTAAAATTTCTTTGTTATCTAAATGTCCATAGACAACAGAAGTTTGAACCTATGTTTGTATTTGTTGCATTGACTAGGGAAAAAATAAAGGCTATGACTTGTTGAGCATTTATTTTGTGCTAAGTACTGTACTGTTTTAAGAGCTTTGCATGTATTACCTTTTTAATCCTTATAAGAAAACCCTGTGAGGTAGGCTCACTGTTGCTCCCATTTAACCGATATGGAAACAGCAGTGCAGAAAGGTTTATATAACTTCACCAAGGGCACAGGCCCAGCATGTGATAGAGATAGATTCAAAGTCCTTGATTTCTTTGTGTTTAGAAAAAAAATTTCATGCATTAAAGGGCCTCTGCCTTTCTCACACAGAGCTGGCCTTCAGGGTCGGCAGGCTCAGTCCCTCTCTTGGTCCCTGTGTGTGGTAAGGCACACGCTGCCCTGGAGTCTGGGACCAGTGTGTCAGCTCAGTTCATCTGCTGAACCATTAGATTTGGGTAGTTTGAGAATGGGTTTTCCTTCCTGGTCCGATGCAGGATTCAGTAAGAGGCTGTTTAACAGTTTAAGATAAATAGTTTGCCTTTTATTATTTACTAGAGGCCCAATGCATGAAATTCTTGCACTCGGGGGGAGGTCCCTCAGCCTGGCCTGTGCCCTGTCACAGTCCGAGAGCCCTCAGGGGGAGCGGGCCTAAGCCAGCAATCGGACATTCTTAGCGCTGTTGCGCTCGCCAGCTGTGAGCCGGCTTCTGTCTGAGTGGCACTTTACCTGTGGGAGCGCACTGACCACCAGGGGGCAGCTCCTGTGTTGAGCGTCTGCCCTCTGGTGGTAAGTGCATGTCATAGTGACCGGTCGTTCTGCCATTTGGTTGATTTGCATATTAGCCTTTTATTATATAGGATTGGTTTAAGTTCAGCGAGGATTATAAGGCTGGAAAACAAGCATTTGTATATAATAGTGTAAGCTTTCCTTGGAGTCAGTTTGTATAGAATATATGTCTATGTATGTTTATGTTTATATTAGGAACATTCCTCAAAACAATTGGGTAGTCTTTTGATTTTTTTTCTGTGCATGACAGGGGGCGGCACCCCAATTCCCCAATCAGCCCTGCTCTGAGCCCGACCAGGGGCTGCACCTAGGGATTGGGCCTGCCTTCTGCCACCTGGGAGCAGGCCTAAGCCAGCAGGTCATTATCTCCCGTGGGGTCCCAGACTGTGAGAGGGCACAGGCCGGGCTGAGGACCCCCCCTCCCCCCAGAGTGCTCAAATTTTTGTGCACCGGGCCTCTAGTATTTTATAAATGACACTACTATAAACGTTTCTGTACAGATTTTGTGGGAGAAGATTGTTCTTTTTTTATATACTACATTAAAACATTTTTTTATTTTTCAATTATAGTTGATGTATAATATTAGTTTTGGGTGTACAACCTCATGATTAAATATTTATATAATCTATGAAGTGATCACCCCAAAGAATCTATTACCCATCTGATACCATGTAAGTTATTACAATAATATTAACTATATTCCTGTGCTGTCCTTTACATCCCATTACTATTATGTAACTACCAATTTGAACTTCAAAATCCCTTCACCTTTTCTAATTGGCAGCTTTCAAAATGTCCTCTGTATTTATGAATCTGTTGTCTGTTCTGCTTGTTTGTTTATGTTGTTTTTTAGGTTCACATATAAGTGAAATCATCTGATATTTGTCTTTCTCTATATGATTTATTTCACTTCACATAATATCCTCCAATTTCATCCATGCTGTTGCAGATGGCAAGATTTCATTCTTTTTTTATGGCCAAATCATATTCTTTATGAGTTCATCTATTGATGGACACTTAGATTGCTTCCATATCTTGACTATTAGAAATAATGCTATAACGAACATATGAATATATTTATCTTTTCAATTTAGTGTTTTGGGTTTCTTCGGATAAATACCCCAAAGTTGCTGGGTCCTTCTTTGTCTCTTGTTATAGCCTTTGTTTTTAAAGTCTATTTGGTTTGGTATAAGTGTTACTACCCCAGCTTTTTGTTTTCTTTTGTTTCCATTTTCATGAAATATCTCTTTCCATCCTTTTACTTTCAGTCTGTGTGTGTCTTTCAATATGAAGTGTGTTTCTTGTAGACTGCATATGTAAGGATCTTATTTTGTTATCTATCTTGCCACTGTATGTCCTTTGATTGGAGCATTTAATCTATTTATATTTAAAGTAATTTTGTCTGCCGCAGAAAAAACTTGCCTTTTATTATTTACTAGAGGCCCAATGCATGAAATTCTTGCACTCGGGGGGAGGTCCCTCAGCCTGGCCTGTGCCCTGTCACAGTCCGAGAGCCCTCAGGGGAAGCGGGCCTAAGCCAGCAATCGGACATTCTTAGTGCTGTTGCGCTCGCCAGCTGTGAGCCGGCTTCTGGCTGAGTGGCACTTTACCTGTGGGAGCGCACTGACCACCAGGGGGCAGCTCCTGTGTTGAGCGTCTGCCCTCTGGTGGTAAGTGCATGTCATAGTGACCGGTCGTTCTGCCATTTGGTTGATTTGCATATTAGCCTTTTATTATATAGGATTGGTTTAAGTTCAGCGAGGATTATAAGGCTGGAAAACAAGCATTTGTACATAATAGTGTAAGCTTTCCTTGGAGTCAGTTTGTATAGAATATATGTCTATGTATGTTTATGTTTATATTAGGAACATTCCTCAAAACAATTGGGTAGTCTTTTGATTTTTTTTTGTGTGAAAACGTGCAAATAAAAAACATTTGTCTTAACAGGGGAAGGAGCCCTTTACTTATTCAATATGTGTCTACAACAGCTGTTTGAAATAAAAGTTTTCAAGGAAAAACACCATTCTTGGTTTATAAATCAATCAGTTCAATCAGGTAAGTGACTAGTGTATATATTTCCCTTAACTAAACAATATACTTCAGCTTTTTTATCCTTCACAGGCAAACAAGACTGTCCTCCTGTTTTAGAGTCTGGTCAATGGTTGTTTTCTTCCTTGGCACCAGAGCAGGGTTTAATCGAGGAGAAAGGAAAGATAATTTGAGCAAGTTATATTAATACCTATGTATCTTAAATGATAGGTAGTTTTTACCCAACGAATTTAAAACACTAACATCTTTTCAGAAGGTAGGTGACCTTTGTACCATGGAGTGCACATTGTCTTGACCAGAAACTCTTTGCTCTTCTCTTAGCCACATTTGTGGCTTTTCAAGTTTTTAACATCTTATTTCCTTGAAAATGGATACTGATATAGCTTCTAAAATAGAATAGAATCTAACAAAGTTTTTTTAATGCTTTATTATATAAATTACTACTGCCACCCCTCCCCCCAAACACACACACACCCAACAAAGTTATATATTTTTTTAATGTTCCTTTAATTTGGAGTAGTATTGACTCAGAGGGAAAAAGGATACCACATGTTTTTTTGATGGTTCTGAGAGGGAGGATGTGGAGTGGTGTGGGGAGTCATGGGGTAGTTGAGGCACTCTGCATTCCCTGCCTGTTCTCTCATCGTTCCAGAGAGTGCTGCTTTCTGTTGACTGTGTATGTGGCTACGTCTTGCTAAGGTAGAAAGGTCACTTTGCCTTTCTTCTAAGACATTCCAAAAAAGGGTTTCATGCTGCTGATAAATTTCAAATACCTATGTGTATGAGAAGAATTAAAGTGGTTTTTAGTTGCCAAAATGCAATGGTAGTCTGTGTATAGTCTGGTAGTTGGAATATAGGTATTCCCTTCTGTTGTTGCTTCTGTGCTATTCATTTGGTAGTATATGAGAGTTCTAATTTCTAATGTAATACGTATATTTGCAGTTGGTTCTAGCTAGATAGACACAGTAATATCCAGGTAAAACTGGAAAATATTGCTCATCTCCCCTAGACTGAGTTGTTAACCTGTTTGTTTGTTTGTTTAGTAGTTTTAGGTTCACAGCAAAAGCACCTGCTTTTTTCATTATTGTCTTCTTTATAAATTTAACCTTAAAGAGCTGTTTTTAAGAATAGTCACCAGGATATTGTTTTAGATCTAGAAACCTACTCATAAAATGAACTTAGAGAACCCGATGGGTTGTTTTTATAAACTTTTACTTTAAAAATATAGTCAACTAATATCATAATATGAAATTACTTCTTTAATTTTTTCTTACTATGAAATGGATTCATATATATAATTGAGGGTTAGAATTTCTTGTCTGTATAGTTAGATTGCTCTGTTAGAGAATAAAAGTAAGTACCTGTATTTCCTAAAACCAAAATAATAAGTAAGGAGATAATGAATTGTTTATTGTTCCATTTGATGAAATTCCTCTTCTGATTCATGTCTGTGGAAGAGGAAGTTGGGGAATCTTGGAGAGGAGTGTGATAGAGGAAAGACAAGCAAGGAGTAATTATGCTAGTTTGTGTGATTTGCCTTTTTCTTTCAGCTTGGAGAGCACCATTAATCTTACTGGAGTTTCCATTTTCTGGTGTGCAATCTTGTTAGATTCCTGCCCTCTTACC